ATTCACAAGAGACTCACAGACAACACCTCCCACTCCCAACTCTTACAAGTATTCAGCTTCTCCTATATCTTTATTTTAGCCAGTCGTTGCTGCTCTTACAGAATTAGCCACTCACGGAGTCAACTAAAAGGCTTTAACCAAGATTGCTTAACTCTTGAGCGAAATCAGATAATAATTAGTCTCAGAAAAGGCTGCTAAAACTGTAATCATTCAATCCAATAATTAAGGACGTCGAAGAAAGATAAGCCGCTCACTGGGCTGAATTCAGCGCTCACTTGAGTAACGAACACACCAGATTGGTTGAAAGAAAAGCCTAATTGGAAGTCTAAATCTAAGAATAAAAGGACACCATTGAAGATGCTCAATCATGGATCGAATTCCACACCTTAGAATTAGAAAACAGTGAAGAAAGACTTGCTGGATAATAAGCATGGTATGCAGTCTAATCAGAAATCTATGAAACTCAAACTGCTGAAAGGTATCATAGAAACTATAATCTAGAGCTGCATAAAACGAAATCGTTGACAGACTCTAAGAACACATCAGCGAGAAATTATCAACCACCGCTCAATTCATCAGCAAGAGAAATTGATTCATTAACATATACAATTATTGACAATTGTTCTACATTTAACATTATACCAATCCTCTCTCTTTTCATTTCACTCCCCATCATTTTTAAATTTATTATATGAAATTTTTAGCTCTCATCTCAGGAGGCAAAGATTCAGTCTATAATATAATTAGATGTGTCCAAGAAGGTCACGAACTTGTCCTATTAGTAAATCTATATCCCAAATGTACAATTACATTTCATTCAAATTAGAAATTGGAATTGAATCTGATAGCTTCATGTATCAGAGTGTTGGCACTAATGCAATCCAAGCTATTGCTTAAGCCATGGACAAACCATTAATGACTAGAGAAATATCTGGAACACCTAAAATTACTAATTTGGATTATCAAAGCAAGGACGAAGAAAGAATTGGAGATGAAGTGGAAGACCTCTATCTCATTTTAAAAGAAGCCCTCATCTAATACCCTGATATCAAGGGAGTCAGTTCTGGAGCTATTGCTTCCACCTATCAGAAATTAAGAGTTGAAGATTGGTAATATCATCTACTATTGTTAGTTGTAATCGTTTAGGCTTAACATCCCTTGCTTATTTATGGAATCAAGATTAGTTTTCTTTGTTGGATTAAATGCTCTAAAATAACATGAACATCATTCTTATTAAAGTTGCAGCCATGGGTTTGACTCAAAAGCATTTAGGCAAAACTATTCAAGAATTATATGATTATTTCAAAGATATAGTAAGATTAAGCAAATAATAATTTTAGAATAAAAAGTTTGGTTTCCATCCCTGTGGAGAAGGTGGAGAATTTGAAAGTTTTGTACTCGATTGTCCACTTTATAAAAAAAGAATACAAATGTAAAGCCTCATTTATCTATATATATCTTAGTAATGAAACTGAAGTTATATGCCATGAAGAAAACTCTTTTGCCCCAGTTTATTATCTTTTAATCAAAAAGTATGAATTGATCGAAAAAAATTGAGTCTTAATGAATTTGTATTTAATTATTCAACATTATATTTCATTTGAGTTTATTTGGTTGATGATATAATATTTCTTTAGATATTACTTTGAATAAAATTAATATGTATTGGTATAACTAGGCTAATTATTATTATTTTTATTTTTGAGTGTTTTTTATTTCAGATTTTCCTGAAGATAAAAGATCCTTAATTAAAAGGCTATAATTATTCAAAAGAGTTAGTTAAAACTAATGAAAACATCAAATTTAAACTAAAAAAGACAGATTAATCTTAATAAAAATAATTCCAAAATATTTATTAAATTAAAAACTTTTTTTAGTCGAATAGATCAAATTTGGTTACATATACAAAAATTATATCCAAATATCATATTCATCTTAGAATGATAATTATTTGGATAATAGAGGTATTTTTAAATGGAATTTCATTAAAATGTATAATAATTTATAGTTTAAACTATTATTTAGTCGAAACCTGCAATTTCAGTAATATTTCTTTAACTTAGTAAAGAATTCTAAATCAATTTGCCTTCTTTTGTAAAATATAATTTTTAATTAACATTTGACACTTATGAAATTTGCAAGAGAATTCTTATGAAAAGTTAAAGTTAAACAGTAATCGAGAAAAATGAGTAACGTATGTAAGGAGAAGAAGATGTTCATAAACGTATTAAATATTTATGGAAATAAGTCTAATGAATCGAGGTTAAAATTCCAGCTTGGTTGTCCTTTATTATGAAATAATTCGATAAAACTAAGTCTATAAATTAATTAATTTATAAGAAAATACTTTAGATAATACGCCATTGAATATGAGCACTTTAATTAATTAATACTTAGAATAATAAATAATTGATGAAATGCTAAGGTTCATCAAGTATATAAAGTTTTATATTAACTGTGAACCTATGTATTATTAAATATATCTTTTTAACATTTGATGTTACACCACCTTTGGAAATACACCTACAACACTAGCAAGGCTCTACCTCTAGAATAAATAACGAGATGGGGACTGCACAATACCACAGTTGTTAGAAATGCCAGTACTCCTGAATTGTATGAAATCGCTGCTATGGATCCACTTTCACCTGACCCAGAGACTAGACAAGGATCAATTTCAAGCACTGGAGCAATGGTGGCATATTCAGGAAGAAGAACAGGGTAATCAAGTGATTGATTAATTTAATTTAGTCGATCACCAAAGGACAAGAGAATAGTCTTAGATGAAGTAACTGAGTAAGAAATTTGGTGGGGAGATGTTAATATTCCAATTCCAAAGAAATCTCACAATTTATTGGAATAAATTGCCCTTTAGTTCCTGAACACAAGACCTAGAGTAAGAATATAGTTTAAATGAATATAGTTATTTGTGGTTGATGGATATGCAGGATGGGATCCTCATAGTCGTCTCAGAATTCGAGTATTTTGTACTAGAGCTTATCATGCATTATTTATGTAAAATATGCTCATAAATCCAACAACTGAAGAATTGAAGAGAGATTTTAGTGATGATGTTGATTTTCACATTTTTAATGCTGGTCCCATGTCAGCCCCAAAATTAGTTTAAGGTGTAGGTTCAGAGACTTGTGTTTCTGTCAATCTCACAGACAAAAAGATGGTCATTATGGGAACTTAATACGCAGGAGAAATGAAGAAGGGAGTTTTCGGAGTTACTCATTATATGTTACCTAAATAAGGAATTCTCACTCTTCATAGTTCTGCCAATGAGGGTATGAATGGAGATGTAACATTATTATTTGGATTGAGTGGAACTGGTAAAACTACTCTAAGTGCAGATCCTAAAAGAAAATTGATTGGGGATGATGAACATGGATGGTCTGATCAAGGTATTTTCAATATTGAAGGTGGATGTTATGCTAAATGTGTAGATTTGAGTTGGGAAAAGGAACCTGAAATTTTTAATGCTGTAAAGTAAAATTCATAATAATTTCTAGGTTTGGAGCAGTTTTAGAAAATGTGGAATTTATTAATAAAGAATCTAGAGTAGTCGATTATCATAACATTTCCATTACTGAAAATACCAGGGTCTCCTATCCTTTAGACTTTATTCCTGGAGCCAAAAATCCTGCTGTTGGTAGTCACCCCAAGAATATCTTTTTCCTTACCTGTGATGCTTATGGTGTTTTGCCACCTGTATCCTTATTGACTCCAGAATAGGCTATGTATCATTTCATTTCAGGATACACAGCAAAGGTATATTGATTCTAATCCCATTAGGTCGCTGGTACTGAGATGGGAGTCAAGGAACCAGTTGCAACTTTTTCAGCATGTTTTGGTGAAGCCTTCTTACCATTACATCCAACTATTTATGCCACTATGTTAGCTGCTAAAATGAAGGAACATGGAACCAAATGTTGGTTAATCAATACTGGATGGTCAGGTGGAAAATATGGCATTGGAAAAAGAATGTCTCTCAAAAACACAAGAGCAATTATTGATGCTATTCATAGTGGAGAATTAGCCAATGCAGAATTTGAAAATTTTGAGGTCTTCAATCTCCAAATTCCCAAGAGAGCTACTGGAGTGCCTGATTAAATACTTCATCCAAAAAATACTTGGATGTATATTAAAATCATTAATTTTTAATAGAAACAAAAGTGAGTTTGACAGAACATTAAGAAATCTTGGGGATAAGTTCAAGAAGAATTTTTAAAAGTATCAAAGCAAAGCTTCTGAAGAAGTTATAAATGCTGGACCAAAAATCTGAGTAAATGTTAAAAAGATTTATTAAAATATATTAATTTCTTCATTCGATTTTTTAATGGAAGGTCTGTTTATAAATGATAAACTGTTTAAATATTGTTAGTTTAAGAGTATAAAAGATAATTAAAATGATTAATTAAATTAATTTTAAAATAAAATTATTCTTATATATAGCGTTTTTTGTTTAAAAATTTTAATTTTAACACAAACCAAAATATGCCTGCAAAAACTAAATAGAAAGAAACAAAAGGGTCATAAGTTAATTTAGAATAGTTTGTATTTTAATGTTCTTTGTATTTTAGATATAAATCACATCATCTGTAAGAACTCTTATTTGATCATAGGATGAGGTTAAGGGTAAGGCAGGTATTAAGGTATGTAATATGGTTAAATGGATTAGATAGGCTAGCTTATAAAGTTTTGTTAGATGCAGAATATAAAAACAGGTTATGGAGCACAAAATGATCCCTAATTTACTAATGATTTGTTTACTTAAAATTGATTGATTGAACTGAATTCAGAATGATTTTGATTTAGATTTTAATAAACTTATATAGATTAATTCTCTTATGAGACATTCTACAAATTAGTTTTAGGTTGATCGAATTCATACTAAGAATCTAATTTAAGGTTTTTTGCGTTTAGAAGTTTGGATTCCAGTTTAGAATTTTTTTAGTTTTGAACAGTTACACAATTCTGGATGGTTAATTTGCTATTGTTTTCAACAACAAAGACATCCTACTAAGAATTCTTCCTTGAAGAATATTTCTTCATCTAAGTTATGTAATTATTGCTAATTATATTTTATATATATTTTACTTCATGACAAATAATTGGTTCAGCATAGATTTTATATAGGCCACATCATTTTCTTAGAGCTATTTGAGTTCTTCTTTTTCTTTGTACCTGTATTGTTTGATAAGTTATTAAAATTCTGTTTTCATTTTCTCATCAATATTGAATCTTTTAAAAGAATCATCTCTGCTGTAAATTACTCCAAGGACACTAGGCTTAATTTATTTTAATAAATCCGATGCTAAACGATAATATCTAAACAATTACATTAATCCAAACCAACTGCCTTACTGAGTCTACGTAAGACTTTCCTCAGAGTGGCATAAAAATAATTTTTGCATAACAAATCAGAACGACCAGGCATTTACGCAGCGATTCTAGCCCAGCTATTACCACAAGATTGCTAAAGATTGAATAAATTTTCTTCTTCTTCCTAAGTCCAATTACTTTTATTCAAATCGGGGTTAAGAATATTTTAGTATCGTTCTCTGCAAGCAGCCGAAGAACGAACTTTTAAGGGGTTTTTCCCTAAAGATTGAAGTTCACGTGCAATATGATTCCAAGATGTACAGCCATGAAGTTTAATAAGTTCTAATAAAAGTTTGTCTTCCTAAAGAATCGTAAGCAAAAGTTTACTTGATAGGACCAACTCTATCTAGTTTCTGATTATTTAGATTACATTGTTACTAAGTAACTAGGCAAGCTTATTTCAAAATAAGATATATAATTTATATTAAATGAAAATTTTGGTAATCATACTAAAATATTAAATATTAATATCATTCTTTAATGCTGGATTCATAGTATTTTAAATGAAACAACAGTTTAACATCTTCAACAATAATCTCTCTGCTTCACTCATCAAAGCTTTCGGACTTTCGTTTTTCTCAATATTATTGTCTAAAATATAAAATAATAACTCAAAATTTAATAATCAAATAACTACACTAATTATACCAAAAGATGAATTAATTATATATTCCTATTAATTTTTTAAATTTCAACAATCAGTACTATTTTTAGAATTATCTTTAATTTACTATTCCATCATTAAGCTCTCTAAACTATTTGTCAATTCTTTCCACACTTTCCCTTTTACAAACAGAATCAAATTAATTTTATATAAAAATGTATAATTAATTTTCTTTTCATACGAAATATTATTCCCAAACACAATTAACTAGTGTCTGAATGTAAACCTACTCTTTTTTCAGACGATATAAAGTACATTAAACAAGGTCTCTTCCTAGTCAAGTTTACGTATTTTGATCAAAGATGGAGATCAATAGGATCACAAGAAGTAATAGGTAGAGACTAGTTTTGTGCAGATTTAAATATTTGGAGGATCTAATAAAAAAGGATAATAAAACATCAGACATATTAAATTTTTGAGAATATATAATTTATAATGATTATAGTTTATTCATTTTTATGGATAAAACACTAGTTCTTTGAGATGAACCTTGATTCTTCCAGCTTCATCTTCTATTTATTAATGTAGTTGTTCAATTCTAGATGCAAATTGTTCCTGTTTATACATCATCTTCTATTCGAATCCATTACTTTCATTATGATTAGATGATTAAGTGTAATTTTGTTTTATGGCATATTTAATAAAATCATTAGCCTGACAATATAGTAAGTCTTTTTCAGAGAATACTTGTTCTTTAAAGGTCTTCAAGGAAATTAATTTAATATTGTTCTAAGCTACAATCTTATGAATTTGCAATTGCAATTGTTATAACTTCTATTCAGAACCTGGATCTTCTTTCAACAATGAAGATACTTTCTCCCAAGCATTTTCAAATTATGATGAGGTAGATTCAAATAGTTCAAATTAATCGCTTAGTTGTTGAAGTTTCATTTAAGTACTATTATTAATCTAGCAATATTTACTGTTCAATTAATTTAATCATCTATTAACCAGGACCGAAAATTATTGTTTCATCTGGAAATCCATAATCTGCATGATCTCTGACATCCTTTTTGTCTTCATCAACTGTGCTTTCCTAAATAACAATACTTCTTACCAACCATGCCCAAAATATTTCTTGATGTCTATGCATTGAAGTTTCAAATTCTAAAAATTACATTATTTCCTTCAAATTTGCTATAATTTCATTTAATTAATCTGGATCTGACAGACTGAGCAATTGATCTACTGTAAAATCCTTTAAACTCATTTATTATACTATTTTATCAATCTGTTTTTATCGTATATTCAATATACCTAGGTTTATTGGGCTTCCTTTCTTTTAAATAAGCAAGAAAGTTATTTGAACTGATGTTTAATTATTCTATTTAGATTTTCAAAATCCTTCACTTAATTACCCTCGCTTGCAAATCTAAGATTAGAAATCTCTACTTCCTAATCTTTAGGCTTATGAACTAACTTTATTTTCAAATTAGCCACTTTTTTTTCGATTAGCTTTTTGTATTTCTCAAAAATATCTGATTCAGCCAATATTTGTCCAACAACTAAAAGCAAATCTCGACTTGATGAATAATCCATTCCAGGCTTACCATTTTTGTAAATAATAAATGGGGAATTTCTTAATGCAAGCAAGATGATCTCCAACCCATCAGGATCTGTATGTGTATTAGTAATTTCATTTAATTTATATTCGAAATCGAATAAATCTAATATGAGTAAGTTATGCATAATGCTTGAAATTGGTTTAATCTAATAAAAAAGATTAAGACATAGTTACAGCTTCAGAGAGATTATGCTTTGCTTATCTAAAGGTGTTGGGATCGATATTATTAATCCCAAATGCTTATAAAATATTGCAGATTGCTTAAATTGTTTCCTTTACAGTTTACATATATTTTTATGTATTTAATTAAAAATTATTAATAATTATTTAGTATTAATGGAACCTCCTAATTGTAAGTTTTACTTTTCATCTTAGAAATACCAAAATCTGTCATGGATGGATTCGATAATATCTTGTTGACTCAGACCTCATTTATGCCTTAAAAAAAGAAGGTGTTTTTGGAAGACAATATAAAATACGGGAAGGAAATCGATAGAGATTATAATAAATTATAAGATATTCTTGATGTAAAAGTAATGATGGAATAGGGAGAATTTATAAGGGAAGATTGATAAGATTATCAAATCTTAAGAGGATGACTTTATGATTGCTTATAGGGAATAAATGACGGACGTGCAGAAGGAGTTAAAGAATATGAAGAGAAAAATAGACGAGGAGGCTCTGAGGTAGAAGGCAGATGAGAAAAAGAGAATTCTGGAGGAAGAGAGAGATTATTTTAAGGAAGAAGCCCTAAGATTGGACAAATTATGTTAGGAATAATTAAGAACTATTGAAGAACTCAAGTTTAAATTGAAAATTACATAAGAAGAAAAGCAATATTATGAAGGTTTTGTGATAGGTATAAGTTGGGAATAATTAAATAGATTCAAAAAAGGAAAATAAAGCATTAAAATATGAGTTATTGTATTTGTATAAACAAAAGAGTGAGGAACAGAAAGGAGGAACAAAGGTAAGTCAAGTTGGAGATGTTGGACAAAGAAATAATATGAAGAAGATACTTGAAATTAGACCAGACATGAGACCTATGACTTAGGATGGCACTCACGTGAGTTCAACAAAAGATGAAATTGGTGAAGGATCAAAAAGGGGGTTTTCATCTGTGAAGAAAACTTTAAAGACTCAATTATCCACAAAATTCTAGGATTAAGGTTCTTCATTACATGATTTTTATAAGAGAGATTTATCATCTTAATAGTAAAGTAGATAAAATCAAGACATGTAATAGGTATTAATTGCATAATATTAGATTGAAGAAATCAATAAAAGTAATGTAATCTAAGATTTGAAGTAGCAGTTGCAGAAAGAAAAATAATTGACTTAGTAATTGAAAGTAGAACTATCATAATAGAATTGTTAAAGAGGAGAGCTTGAATAAATATTATTGGAATGCGTTGCTGAGAAGAAGAAAGAAGTTCATTCTCGTTAATGCTTACAAAAATAGGTATTGAACCATAGATATTTGGATCCATTTAATCATGATGGAGACACTAATTTTTCACAATTTACTCATACTGATAAAATGTAATAATTATAAATTTAAGCTTTAGTTAATTGTTGAGAAAATATATAGAAAGCGAAGAATTTTTCGATTAATTGTATTCAATTACCTTCAATAATTAATTTTCAATATCTTCATCACTTAAATTAAATGAAAAATGGAAAATGGATGCAGATGAAGCAAATAAAAAGTTCAATCATTTCAAAACCTTTAAATTTAAGCACATAACAAGTTAACGTAATTTATACTAGTTTTATCATTATAGCAATATTAAAAACATCCCTTGTTAAGAAAAATGAAAGAGAAATAATATCTATATCTAATAATTTCACTGAAAAAACAAAGGGATTAATTGATAAAATAATTAAAAATTGAAATTTAAATTATGTATTATTTTATTAATATGTAAGATTCAATTCAATTGGGTAACTAAATTGTAATTAGTAACTTCATTATGAATTACTTCCCAATTTCCTAATTTTAATTTACTTTAATTTTATAAGTTCTTTTCAATCGGTTTGTTTCTTTCTTCGTTTAAATAGATAACTAAATCAAGTGTTTAATGTATCACTGGGGGAATAACTGCAGCTTAGGTAGTAGTATCTACATGATATCATATTAATACCGAGGAATAATGCAGGATTGGTGTTCATCTCAATTAAGTAAACTTTTAAATTAGTATCAATCATTATATCACAACCCATTAACTCAAAAGTTCCTAATCGTTTTTCAAATTTATCACTTGAACATCTAATGATATGGGCAAAGATCTTTTTCATTTATAAATATATTAATTCAATCCTTTCTTAAGTAACATTCTTTTTGTCTTTTAAATATTACTAGGGATCTTAATAAAATCCTTTACTTCGAATTGTTGCATAGACCAAATAGTTGATTCCTTTGATTGATTGAAAGAGGGATGCTTCTTTTAAATAGCAGCATTGGTTAAATGTTTATATCTATTTTTTTCATCATCCATATCTTCAACGTTATATTTATCAACCGATAATCGTAGATAGCCATGTTGAAATAGTACAAATAACGGTCGAGTAGTGGCAATCAAAACATAACATCGAATGTCAAACTTTCTGCCTTCCAAAAGCAATGGATTCTCAATATATCTTTGAACAATACACTTTCTCAAATTGGGAGTGAAAATCCCATTTTATAAAAATCCTTTTTAAGCTTTTATTTAATTTGAAATTTATTTTAATCTAAATCATATAAACTCTACTTTAAAAATTCCTATTTCAGTTTTTTAGCATTAGAACAGAGCTTGATACCTCGTCCACAATTAAAATATGTTGGTTTAATTATCCAAACAGCCGAATTATCTGTCTTCAGGAATTAGTCTTCTTCAAGACTCAATTGTTCTGAAGTCAAGTCGATTCTGTAGGTTTCAGGGAAAAAATGACTTGAACTAAATTGCAATTCTTATTTAAATATTGTATCTATACATTATTTTGATCTTTCGTATTCCTTCATAGTTTAAATTATTAACTATTTGGATGTCAGAATCATATGATTCGGTAAATGGTTGATTATTTATTGCCCTTCTTTGAACAATTAAAATTAAATTTCAGAATTGGTTTACACCCATTTTAAATAGAAATCGTTATTAGTCTTACTTATCTCTTGATCCAATTATTTCCAACCTCTAAATATTGATTTATGCAATAAGTGTACTGAAGTTATGATAAATAATTTGCGATCAATTTGCCATTGTTCCCAGGACCTACGTAAAATTGTCTCACACAAACCGTCTTCTTATTTAAAGATTTCTTCTTAATATCCTCAGTTTAAGCCCTGATTTTCTTAGAACTCTGACTCTTTTTCATTTTACGACCTCTCTATGTTTATTACATATTTTGTGATAATAAATAAAATTATAATAAAAATAGACTTTCATCATCCAATGCAATTAAAGTGTGCAGAATATTTAAAAGAAGCTGTATTTATTCATACCAACATAGGTGAACACAAATATTGAGTAAATTCGATTTTCATTTATGTCTAAAGCATGCAAACAGATTGCATAATTGCTGCCTTTTCAATCGATGTGGCATCTATTGCTTAAACAAGAGAATCTCTTTTTTTATATGTTGATGCTCTAATCAATGTTCGGTTAAAATATTAAAATGCTCTTGGAGTTAATAATTGAGAGGTTTGCACCAATCACGTAGTTTTAAATTTAGTTCTTAAATGCTTGTACATTGGTATTTTCTCAAGATACTTACCTCTTGTCAGACGTGATCAAAAGCCAACTTCCAAACATCTATAAAGAGTGTATAACCTAACTACAATTCTTTATCAAACAAATCCCTAAAAATGATTCCAAAGAAGGTTAGTCAGTTGCAGAATAAATTGCTTAGGCTTACAAAACCATCTTAGGAAATATCCACGATTAGAAGGTTACCATCGAACTCTATACGAGTCTCCAACAGATCGTGCATAAATGGCCTCTAATACATGAAATCAATCCCTTAATTTTCCATGAAGTCGAAGAAATAATTGCAATGAGAACTCCAAGAAATGTTGAGATCTAATTCTATGAAGAACCAACTGAATGCGACAGTCCTACTAAATCGAACTCAATTCGAAAGGAAAATCAGATCGTAGTCGAATTATAGAGGTGGCTCAGTAAAATGAATTATCCTATTCCCGTGATCTCCAAAAGAATTGCCAGCAGTGTAATAAATTCATAGAACATGTTCAAATTGAAAGAAAACATTGAGATAATGCTCTTGTTTATCTATTGTCCATTGAAATATGACCCTGCTAATTGTGTACAATATTAAACTATCTTAGTGGATGAAGGTTGAATTCGATCATAAAATCAGTTTAAAAGACATACCCAATCTTAAGGATTGTTATTCCTTGCAATCACCTGCTCACATTTATCACATCAGATCAATTAGATCATTACAGAGTTTAACTGACGAAGAGAACCATTAAATTATCGCAAAGGTAAACCCAGCTTATTTACAAATTGCTTGTATGACTATATTTATTGATTTTTAGTTTCTTATTTGGCTGAATGCATAAATGAGGATCATTTAAAAAATTGTAATTTCAATCATTTAACATAATTAATGATATTTTATTTAGAAAAAGAATAAGACATTTCAATTTACTTCTGTTTACATTATAATATCCCTTATGCTTTTTTGTACTACATCAATTATGAGCAATCCTCTACATTTCTCATTAATCTCTTCTTATAAATTAATTCTCTGGGCCATTTTGTTACAGAGCATCAATAAAAATTGTATGATTAAGTTTGGTCCTATTTTAAGGCAGCTAAACTGTTTGAAGATATTGTTAATTTACTATTGAACCCAAAAAGTAAATAGGACTTGCTATTTAAATGCTCATAAAACTTTAGGAACAACAATATGCTCGATGCCTTCACTCTACATCCAGATTTCCATCTGAAAGAAAAAGTCTATTAGTAAAACGAAAATAATTTTAATTTTACTGTTGAAGAAAAGATACACTTAAAATGGGACATAGATTAACTTAAGCCATTCGTCTAAAAGAAGACCATCAAATAATTGTCTTTTTTCAACAAAGTTTCAAATAAGATCTTACCCCCAAGCAATGAAAAACCAGCATCTATGATGGATGTTATCAGAGTAGCTATTTAGAATGCAGAAATCATCAACGAACCTCATAAAAAGAGATAATCAAGAGCTACAAGAGAGAAGCTAATAGTGTTAAGGAGTGCTTCAGTAATGTTTGATTTAGATGAATAAGATTCAGTGAAGGATCCATTTGTTCCTTATAACTACAATCCTAATCCTTTGGAATTAAGAGTTGAAACCAAGGAGAGCAATACAAAATATGACTAAAAATCAGTTTCATTTATTAAGGATAGTCATAAAAACATACAGAAAAAACATTCAAGAAATATGTCATTCTAATTGTACCCTTTGTCACTGAAAGATGTCACACTTGGCAAATGGGACCACGAATAAAAATAAGATTAATATCAAATAGAGAGGTATACTCAAAATAATATTAATTTATTAGTTTGATGAAGGATGAACCCTTTTGTTATAACTTACTTTAGTTTTTGTCAATAATAATTTAGTAATTGATATTAGGAGATCATAAGTTGTTTTCTAAGACTCACAATTTGGAAAGCAGATAATAATTGTTGGGGATCATCTTGCTGGATGAAAATTGCAAAGTCTTTGACAATCTAATGAAGGTAATAATTGATTATTATGATCAAGATATACTTGTTTAAGATTAAGCTAACTCCATATGTAAAAGAAAATAGTTCCGTCATTTGTGGATAACTAGTCAATCTTATTATCAAGAAGAAGCCTGAATATATGAACTTTTAAGATAATGGCTAAACCTATATCGATTATCTGTGTAAAGTGATCATCAACTCTTTGTCATGGAAAACCTCCACAACTTAAATTATTGAATTGGACATCAGCAAAACCTTACTTTGTGAAACACTCTATCTATTAATTGATTATGGGATGAGTAGAGGACAAACGCAATTACTAAATAGGATAACTGCTACCACTTGGAGTTGTCTGATCGAAATCTGCAAATAGTGTTTCCCCATTCGACCCAATCAAACCTTTTAAGGGATATTTACGAAACTGCTGAAATTAAATTTGGAATTTGGATCAGAATTCAACATCCATACAATATTTATGAAATTAAATTTATTAAGTGTGGTTAAATAATTGGCAGAACTGACACAATCAAATTAAGTGTAAAATAAGAAATTTAATTATTTAAATGAATTTATAAAGTCAATCTGCAATTTGATATCCAAATTTATCAATAAACAATCTTCAAAAGAATGTTATAGAATAATATAAAGTCTTGATTCATGGAATTACCTTAAATAGCAATATAAAATTATAACTCACAACCATGCAAATAGTTTTTATAGTGTAGATTCGAGATAAATTAATAATTCAACTCCAGCAACAAGTTAGAGCTATACAAAAATCAGAATTCGAAAATCTGCCCATTCCCAACTATCAAAAGAATGATTTATAATTATGTATTTTTAATTATATAAACATATGATTATTAACTTCATTCAATTTATTTAAATAAATTCTTAATTTAATCTTTCAGCTACTTCAAAGTAAGTGTATCAACTACCGAGAATTATTTTTCACTTTATTGTGAATCTAACTATTTTTATTTTGAAATGCTTAATGCTCTTTTTTAAATTTAGCCAACCTTTTGTTTCTTGGTATCATTGTTACCCCTTTGAGAGCGTCTCTAACCTTTGCTAATTCTTTTCCCTCTTTTTAGACCAGGTTGTTCTTCAACTTGATTTTCTTAGGATAAATCGTCCACCTTTTTTTTATTTTCTCTTGAATCCTCTTGAATCATACTCTCCTCATTTTCATCAATTTCTTTTTCTTAAGTTATTTGTTAATTGATGGATGTTTGACTTTTCAGGGGTTGTTAAGAATTACCTTCTTTTTCAGAAATTACCTCATAAGAGATTTATAACTCCTATTTTATCTCCTTATTTGATGCGACATGCTTGTTATTTTCTAAAGTAACATAATTTTTTATATATACATTCTTCTTTGATTACTTCTTATGATTTTTTTTCTTCAGATTTTTCCTTACTTTCACTCTTTTCTTCTATTATAGGTTATGCTACTTTTGTGGGTTTTTCATCTGCTGTTTCATACATTGTTTCCGAAGAGGATTCGTCTTTGCGGTATTTTGATTTTTCGCCTCCATTTGGGAATCTCACTTTTAAACTAAATTTTTCTTGGTCTGTTGCACTCATATTATTCCATTCGGTCATTAATTACTCAAATAAACGGACTCTGTTTTCATACAATTCTTCAGCACTATATTAATGAATCTTGTAATCCATAAAATATAAAAGCTGAGTGGACTTAACTAATGATATTCAATGTTTACCAATCTGATTGGATTTGGTTTTCCTGTTTCATTGTTCATGATAGCAAAAATAATAAAATTCTTTGAATTTAAAATAATACTATCAAATATTAAAATAATAAAACATACAAAAATATTTCAATTTGAAAATAATAATAAAAAATAACAATAGATTAGCAAATAGAGAGTTATGAATAAATAAAATAAGAGTTTCTAATAGTTGCTATTGATGTGTAATTTGAAATAATAACATATAATGATAAAAATTAGTGGATAGAATGAGAATAGGATTTTCTTTTTAAAATTAAGTAAATGTATATATGTTCTTGAATTAATAAACTTGAAATTTCTAAGTGTAAACCAATTAATTCATTTCTCATTTCTAACCATATTAAGGACGAATATAACTAAAGTGTTTTGATAGGCTCTATTTACAATAAGAATTGTATTGAGTATTAAATGTCTTATTTAAGAAAGGATTAAAATCTGTATTTGTAGCTTAATTGAGCATGAGTATCAAACTACTGAAACCATTGGAGTGGCTTGGCAATTCTAAATTGTGAGGTCTTTAGTAGATATCGGGATTTTTGGGTTATAATTCTGAGAGACGGGGAGGAATAGTATGAATTGGTTTAAGAAATTCATAAAATATATTAGGAAATGGAAAAATAAAAAAGTCTAATTGATGTATAAAATTAAAAGTATCGGTAGCTTACTTTTGAATATGGACAGAGTTACGAGGACGAAGTAAGAAGGAAGTAGTGGTTATATGAGTATATGACTGGATGCTTGAAGGAAGTAAATAATTTGAATGATTGATTAGAAAATTCTGGAGTTATTGAACACTATGTTTGGAGACTATATTAATGATCTGTTTCTTCTTATTAGTTTTATTCTGATTTTAGTGGGAATAGTTTAGGAGGACGACTAGGAGGATATTATATCGTCGTAATTATTGAACAATTTACAAATAGACTCATTTTGTTTATAGTGTACTTATTGCCTTTTCTGATTGAAGCAACGATTAGAGCAATATAATTATTTTTAGAGCAAAAGTAAAGTTGGCAATCTATTTTGCAACAAACACGAATTGCTTACACTAGATTAAAAGGATTTAAACGAGAAGACATGGTTTATAATGACACCTAGAATTACATTAGACAGGCTCGTTCATCATCAATAAGAAGTATTTAATAACTTGACTCATAATCAAATGTACCTGATGTTCTACCAGCTTCAAATGTAGAGGATGTATTTTACAGCAATTTAAAAAGAGGAGACTTCATTCTCCTTAGTCGGAATCAATAATGTCCAGGAGACTTAGTCATATTGGACATGAGTGATAGACATGGATACTTTTATTCAAAAAGCTATTTCAAGTAGGCTTTTCTTCAACGCAAAGAGCCGATGAAGACCACAAAAGTAGAATTGAATGCACCTAACAAAGGAGATTTGAATTATCTAAGAAGGATTTTAAAGGGTAAACTGACATTCAATAATAACTATAATTTTGAATAATTTGAGGGTCACATAAAGTTATCCAAAGATCCCAAAGGAGAACCCATTATGACTGAAAATATTCTGTATTTTGGATAGGCTCTTCAGTTCAGCGAGTGGGTATTTGGAATCCTAATCAATGTCGGAGGACAATCTCTATATAGTAGAAATGTTCAATCAGTAAAAAAACAATAACGAAATAAGAATAGATACAAGAATCTACGCATATTGTAACTCTTCCTATATATTATCATGCCCATCATTGCATCATTGATTTAATATTATGGATACTAATCTCATTTATCATTCAGCCGTATTATTTTACGTTGCTATTAACAATTCCTGGCTGTCGTACCCTCTTATTTAAATCTGTTTCTACATCTGTTTGATGTATTCCTAATTATCAATGAAAATCGATCACAACAATAACAATCCAAAGACTGCAAGGAATTGATATTGGAAAATAAGTAAAATTCGAAACAATAGAGTATCAACTATCCAGTCAATATGACTCAAATCATGGACACTACTCATGTGTTTCTGAACATTCAGATATTGTCTGATGCCAAAATCGAAGCCTTATGTCATGGAGATAATATTTATCAAATAGATTAAACTCTGATTCCAGATTTAGTCATAAATTAGTCTTTTAAAAAAACACAGTTTTACTACAATTTAACTAAGTAAGTGAATGATGAAAACATTGAAATTTTATAAGAGAAGATTGAAACCATCAGTCCTAATGTGCCTCCTCAGAAATTAAGCATAAATTCGCATCAATAATACAATGTCATCATTAGTAAAGAGATTGGATAAAACAAGAGACCATTCTTTAAATAGAACACTTAAACTCTTCATTCTCCAGTACTCAATAATCCAAACAGTGCCAGACCCTCATTAGAAATCTTTCACAGTATGGATGGAGGAGGATTCATCTCATCTACTTTAGCTGGGAATCTTCTCAATCAATAATAACATAGTTAAGTTAGTCAGGAACCTGAAGAAGAACAGGTTAAATAAATACAAATTTACAGAGAAAACACACTTGTTGAACTAGGACTAAACTAACCTTTTTAATATTTTGAGTTGTTTTCTGTCATCTCTTTATGTCATCTAACAAGAAGTGAATTGATGACTGCTGGAGAAGAAAACAGATCATCCTAGAAAAATTCTAAATTAGGTTTCTCAGAAAGGGAAAGAATTAAGAAACCTAAATTCAATATTGACTAATACTTTCTAGCTGAGGATGAAGCCTTATTAAAATTAAGCAAATTATTTAAAATTTCATATAAGACTTATGGATTTAATAGACAAGAGTAACTCTGTTATGTGTTGAAAATTAATGACTTAGAAATTCCTTATATAATTCATTATAGATTATATCATCAAGGATTCATAGATTATGATGAAACAAAAAATAATAAGATGTTTAAGATCCCATCCAGATTTATAGCTATGATGATCTAGGATAACAATTTTTAACTTAAAGAATCAAATTAATTGGTATTATTGTGTAGATTTTGCATTGTAACTATTTCAGATATACCTGGATATGAGAAATTCGATTTAGTCAAGAAAGCATCCTTATAGAAATAAATTCAATATCTAATCAATAGAGGAGATATAATTATTTGCTTTTTGAAGATGTCAATTAAAGAACAAGATCTCCAGGAATCAAAGAGTTTGATCATAAATGACTACGATAAAACTATTTAATTAATCGAATTAATATCTGAAAATTAGTATGACATTATTGGCCTTTTTGGAATTAGTTAAAATGATAATCAGGACTTAATTAAGGAATCTTTTATCACTAACCGATCTAGGATAGTTATTTAATCGGAAAAACCATATGAATTGGTTCTACCATTTTGTATCAAGAATAGTGTCTTGCACAATGAAACTATTACTTATAATTTCTAGTCTTCATCTAGAGATGATATTCTCTATCAGATTAGATAAATTATCAGTAGTCTTAATCAAGAGGATCCAAAGAAGAGTTCTACTTTAACAAATCGAAGAAATGCTTAAATTTAAAATGATAGAATTAAGATCAATAACAATGCTCTAATTATAGATGGAAATGTGTTGGATTTAATATTAAATGATAAATATTTGACTAATCATTTTGGGTTTATAATTCATTTTAATAAAATCATTATAGTCTATAACATGAACAACAACTTGAAACAGAAACTATTGAATTTTGTAACTAAATATGATAGTGAATATTACTCATCGTTATGTGTTAATTATAGTGCAGGATCACACGGATTGGTAAGGATGAGTAATTTCTCTTATTAAAGACATGAGGAGATTGAATCAGATGTGATGGGTTTTATCAACCAATATTCGATAAATATAGATGAATTAGAATTGTTTGATAATCTAGTTATTAAGACTGGGTTTCAACTCTTTTAAATTAAGGATGCAACTTAACGGATGTGTATTCAATGGAACCTATGTTTTGCTTTATTGCAAATGACATTATATTGTTTTCCTGATTATAATGGCTAATTACTATTTAAAGATAGATTGCTAATATTGCAAATACTGGTGCCTGCAATACTATTGATATATTCAATTAAGACAATATTTGTCGAATAAGAATACTTGACAGTGAAGATAAATACAATAAAGTAGAAATCCCTCGACTTGAAGAATAATCACATAGTAGAATTATTGTTAGAAACAATAATGGATGTATTTCTACTGACAATAGTTAGATATACGTGCTACATGAATAACGTTTAGATTGAACTCTATAACACGAGAGAGGAGATTGCCATATTCTTTAGTTTTATCTTGATAATTCATGTGTTAAAGTTGGCATTTTTGTCAAAGGAAATCTATTTGAGACTATTCTTGTCTTTGAGCACTTTACTATTGATACTATTGCATATTACAATAGAGATGATAAGTTTGGATTATGTGTTATTAAAGGAGTTATTAATACAACCTACAACTATAATGTCTTTTCTGAGTTTATTGGGGTTAAAGGCAGTTATGAATTTATTTGGACAATTTAGCATATATTTGTATAAGAACTTCTTGGAGAGATCTCAGCAAGATATTGATTTTAATTTGATTTTGGAAATCATCACAAAGGAATTGTAGAGTGTGAAGAATATCTAATATTTGATAAAGAAGGTCTTTTAGGATTCAGAGATAGATCTATCTGTTAAGTAGATATTGGGAGACAACAAGAATCAGTTAATTTAGTTAAACAATTACACATTGAATTTTGAAGAGCAGGTTTATAATTTGGAATTCATCCAGATGTACATATCGAAATGGAAATTCATTGGGATAATTACAAACTTGAGTTATTTCTTCGGTTTGGACATATTTTTATTGATACATTATGGATTGAGATTTTAAAAGATAAACACAGCTCTATTTTCAATTATGCTATTTATGACTTTCTGCTAGGTGTTTCTAATTAATCAATCTTGTTATCCTAGTTACAAGAAGTTGATAATCTATTTTGGATTCCTGTAAACCATTTATAGATTATTCATAATAAGCGTAGATGTGTATGACCAGGAAAACAGGATGTACGCATTCATCTTCTATTATCTGGTCATATTTTCATTGACTCAACAGATCAGTTATAAATATGTGTTTATAGTGATCCAATAGATTATTACCCTAATATCTGGGATAGTTATGCTGTATGCAAATCAGAAACAACATGCTGATGATGTGTACTTAGGTGAAATCATAGTTTTGTTTGTGTCTTTCAGCATTATTTCTCTATAATCTCGTTACCAAGATGATGTCACACAACGCGAAGATTACATATGTTGGAAAGTCTTAGAAATAGAAAGATCAAAGCATCAATCAGTAATGTCCTTGTTGTTGCCTCCATTTGTTTTGGGGAGACTCGATCAAGGCCACCTAGATTTCTCAGAGAATCAAGGATTGGTTGGCATCATCTTTGTTGATATGTGTAGTTTTGATGTGATAGTCAGTGAAGAGGACCAAAACATCGTATAATTGATGGATAACATTTATCGACAATTTGATTAGATCTGTTCATCAACTAACTGTCAGAAAATAGAAACTGTAGGAAAGACCTATATGGCTTGTTCAGGATTGAAATGCGTGGAGAAATTTCAGCCCAAGGGTCAACATTTGAAGAACCCAATTGAAAGATTGGTGGAACTTGCATTTGGGATCCAACAAGAGATCACTAATTTCAAATGGGGTACCAGTCAAAAGAGTTTTGGATTGAAAATTGGCATTCATTATGGCAGAGTGTTAATGGGTGTAATTGGATCAATTAAACCACAATTTTCATTGATAGGAGACACAGTCAACACGACTAGTAGATTATGTGCTCATTGTCCTGAAGGTTTAATTCAGATGTCTCTCCAAGCTTACGATCAGATCAAAAATGTTAAATCAATTAAATTCACTTCAAATAAAATCGAGGCCAAGGGGAAAGGTATAATAGATACATTTTTGATTGAGAAGAAAAGGAGTTTTGAACAATCATTTAACAACAAATAGAAAAAGTCAGAGATGCCTCATATCGATTAAAAGTTGAAATTTGTCTTGAATAATTAACAGCAATAGCAAAATTCTTTTCGAAATCCCAAGCAAACCAGTATTTCAGCGATTCGATAGAAGACTACAAGGCATTTAACCTACAAACTAATTCCTTAGAAATAGGAGGAAATCTAATAATTAAATCCTCCATAGAACAACTAAACATAACAACCACCAACATAATAGATGATATCAACTTAATAATAAGGTACTGGTTAAAAGGCAGGAAATCTTAATTTTACTGCTAGTCAATTGTAGTTATTCAGAAAACAAACTAAAAGGAATCTAATCAACAATTACATCAATTTACCATCCATGAATTAGATCACTTCTCCTCAAGCCTTAAATCAGATGTAATCAAATCAGAATGTTCTTGCTCCTAGTAATAAGTTGATTCATTAGAAATCTATCTTCAGTCATTAATAACAGTAGAATCAACCAAGTCAGTTAGATAAAATAGATAAGTATCAATTACAATCATCCATTCATATTCCATAGTAAGATCCCTCAAATTTGAATATAATAGGTGGAATCCCTGACATACCATTAGATCAATCGTTGAATGTCATGGACTCCTCAATCAAAGAGCAAACTCCACTTAATTGCAAAAAGGATGACCAGAAGAAGTTTATTGATACTACGATTAGGATGATCAAATTTAATGATATAGAATTATTCATAAAGTCAAAACCAGAAGTGTTCAATAAGACTATTCCTTTATTTAAAATCCAAGAGTTTTTTCTTGAAGGCAAAAGCACAACAATACAAGAGAGTAACAATAATAAATGGCATTTGATTTCCAAAGAATTTCTATTTGAAGCATTTAAGAATAGCGATGATGTCACCAAATACTATGAGAATGAATTAGAAAATGGCATCAGAAGTGTAATGATCTCATTACTGCTCCTATTAATAATACACATCTTCTTCATAATATTTTCGCAATTGCAATAGGTAAATACCTAATAGGCAGTAATAAGAGCATTGGGTTGTTTTTTTATACTAATTGAATTGTACTTCTTGTAGACTCACTTTTTTGAATGGAAAAGAAAGAGATTATTGTAAGTTATACTTATACAACTTGTGAGTCAATGTATCATATTGGGAGTATTCTATGATTAAGATAAAGACAAATCAGTAATCTTGTCCATTGAATCGATTATTACAAGTTGTCTCCTATTTGCTCACAAGTGGCTCTATGTTCAAGAGAAGATCTTAATTTGTGCCTTCATGTTTACTGTTTGGTTGATCATTATTAGCTCAGTATTCATCATAGATATTTGGGAAGTATTCTTCCTTTTAATTTCGATTGCTCTATTGCTATAAAGAGAACTATTAAGTTATCTGTTTTCTTACAAGCAAATGCTCAACCAATAACAAATAGAGATTAAAAAGGAAGACAAGATGAATCTTTTAAGTTGTCTATTGCCTATTCATGTGTTGAGTCAATTCTTAGATGATTCCACTAATTCAAGGAAATTCTCTGATGTCTACAATGACTGTACTATCTTATTTGCTGATATTGCTGGATTCACTAAGTATTCTTCAAGTGTCCAACCAGAAGAGGTAGTCTCTATGCTTAAAAATTTATTCGATGAGTTTGATAAACTAACCTAAATACACAATGTATTCAAATTGTATACAATTGGAGATTGCTATGTTGTGATAGGAGTAACTGATAATTTCAAAAGAGATCCAATTCAAGAAGCATTCAATGTTGTTGAAATGAGTCTCAATATGTTAGAAGCTATAAGCTTGGTTCGAAATTAAATTAATTACCATGATCTTCATATGAGAATTGGAATACACACGGTATTTTTCATTTATATTTGCTAGGGTAATGTTATTGGGGGTATTATTGGAACAGATATCATCAGATATGATGTCTATGGAAAAGACATTCTTATTGCGAATAAAATGGAGAGCAGTTCTGAAGAAGGTAGAGTGTTGATATCAGAAACCACTAAGAAATTAATAGAAGACAACTTCGCTTAATCCTATATTTTCAATGGAAGAAAATTAATTAATATTCCCTCTATAAACACAACTATTACTGGTTTCTTCTTAGAAACTGCAATTTGATTAATTAATATCCTACATATATTATTTATATTCTGGATTTCTATAAATTATAGATCATTTTTGATGTTGATCTTCGTTGGTCTTTTTATTCTAAAATCGCAATTTTAGATTCATTATTCAGTTAAGATTTTGAGAAATTAACTTCTTTTTTAAAGTAATGTATTTATGAATTTAATTAGATTTCAGATATTCGTTTAGCATTTATTATTGAATCTATACAATTGGCATTTCTTCATTTATGTTGTTAATTTATTTTTCTATCAATCTTACTATATATCATGTTATGGATATTTCAAATATTTATAAAGGATTATTATTTGAAATAAAGCAATTATAAAAATTGCAAGGTATCACTAATTGAAGTGTATTAATTTATAATCTAAATTTAAGGTCTAAAATATTGAGATTAAATTGAATATTTCGATTATTATAATTAATTATTATAACATTTATATGAGTTCAGTTTAAAAGGAATTAGATAATTCAAATTGCAATGGAAGAGGACTGTATTTTGATTAGGTTTGTGAGTGTGATTTAGGATATTTTGGAGCTGAGTGTTCATTAAAGTTAGAAGACCTACACGTTGTCTCTTATTACACATTTATTGGATTCTTTCTGATCCTCTTTATAGTGCTATTAGTTTTGACTGTTAAACAACTTCATTTCTCTGTAAAGACCAATAAAATTCCGTAATATCAAAGGTACATTAGCAATAATAATAGTATTTAGAGGATTAAGCTATCTGAAGAATTTTCTAGGTTCCCCATTAAATTGCATTTTGTGTTTAATGATTTTGTTTAACGTTTTAAAAATCTTGTGGCTTTCTTTGGATCCTTTCAAACCATTTGTAACATCAATCATAAAAGTAGGATTATGATAAAAGAGTATTTGAAAGAATTCTAGCTGAAGTGGTATACACTATCCTTTTTTACATCTATGGAATCCTCTTATTGGTCTGGTACACAATGTACGATGAGATCTCATTCAATATTTCAGAAAGAAATAAAAAATCAAAACTTCAATTATTATTTGGGGATGAATTAAAAGTCGAAACCAGAAAGTGGATATTCGTATATTACAAAGATATAATGAAGATAAGACTTTTCTTTGTCCTGTTGATCCAATTAACAATTAGTACATTAAATGGTAACTTCAATATTTAATTAGGATTAAGACTAAGCTAAAAGTATAAGACAATACTGTATATTGCGTATTCTATTTTGCTCCTGAATTTCATGTAATATTAATCTACTATACAAAGCTCCTTTATATTAGAATTCTATATTTATGGGAGATCACTTAATCAATGCATAGAGTCTCAACTAAGGAAATTAGACAGAGATAGTGACAAGGAGATTCAAGAAAAATTCGGACAAGGGAACTAGTAACAATAAGTAAGTGAATTCAATATTTTTGTTAAGATAGTGTACTCCAAGAATTCATTTGGAATTTAATAAGAAGAATAACTCTAATCACCAGAAACACAAGATCAATAAGTGTTGAGACTTAGTTCTTAGAGTGAATGTGAAGATAACAATGAATAAATATAAGCGTAACGAGCCTTTCTCTCTGTTGAAAGATATCATCTATCAAATATCAAAAAGTCAGTCTCCTTTAAGAAATAATTGAACACAACTAATGAAATTCCAAATGAATTGAGTAATGTAAAAGTTGTTCAAAGCTCGCAGAACTTGGAAACAGAAAATGAGTTACAGAAAGGTAACTTGAAAACCATAGTAAGTGAGGATTCGTAGAGTTCCAAAGAAGAGGGAGGCGTTCATTAGAAAATGAATTCTTGCTTATTGAAAGAGGACGACAATGTTTAGGAGAGTATACCTTGGGACATAGAGAAGAATAGATAGAATATTAGAAACATTAAGACTATGCAAATAAAGATTGTAGAAAAGACAAAATAGTAAGTAAATGAAATCAAAAAGTTTAAGAAGGCTACAATTAAAAATATTAATAGGGAAGCTTTATTTGATACTCAATTAAATGAAGATCGAAAATCAAAGGTCTTATCAGCTGAAGATATTTAAACAGAAATATAAGCAGAATAAAAATAAATAAAAACAGCTAATCTAAATGCAGATAAAAATGTCATAATTAAAATTCAAATTTTGATATATGCAGGAGTATTCCTAGAAATTTGTTTTGGTCTATTATCTATTGTAATTTTATTAACTGATCTATTGAAAACACCTACAGGTTAGAAATCATTAAATTAATGTAGGAACTCTATGTTATTTATATATTTCAGCATTGCTATAGTACCTATCCTTGATTGCAGTGTTGAAGTTATTTAAAGACGTGAGAAGTCCAGAAGTCTTAAATCTAATTTGGATTTAAAAAGTAGGAAGTGGCAAAAACAAAGTCAACCAAAAGTTTTTCTTTACGATTCCACAGTTATAAACTAAAGTAGACGATTCAAAGAAGAAATTTGAACAAAGAATCAATTTGCATCTTAGATGAAAAGTAGTTTGTATATGTTAACACTCAATTAATTTTGAATAATAACTCCTATATCATTTTGATATAATAAAATTAGACAAACCTTTAATTATATATATAGCTATAAAGATATATCAATATAATCATCACTATAACCTTCTTTAAGTAGAAATCAAAAGTTTCAATATATTTTATCCATTTTACTAAAACAACAACATATTTTAATACTTTTTTGTGTTCTATGTTTGAAAGTTTACCCCTTATTCGAGCTTAGCCCATTTTTACAATGGGTACTCAATTCCATAGCAATTGATGGATACCTTCATCAAGCATCANTTAATAAGAAGAATAACTCTAATCACCAGAAACACAAGATCAATAAGTGTTGAGACTTAGTTCTTAGAGTGAATGTGAAGATAACAATGAATAAATATAAGCGTAACGAGCCTTTCTCTCTGTTGAAAGATATCATCTATCAAATATCAAAAAGTCAGTCTCCTTTAAGAAATAATTGAACACAACTAATGAAATTCCAAATGAATTGAGTAATGTAAAAGTTGTTCAAAGCTCGCAGAACTTGGAAACAGAAAATGAGTTACAGAAAGGTAACTTGAAAACCATAGTAAGTGAGGATTCGTAGAGTTCCAAAGAAGAGGGAGGCGTTCATTAGAAAATGAATTCTTGCTTATTGAAAGAGGACGACAATGTTTAGGAGAGTATACCTTGGGACATAGAGAAGAATAGATAGAATATTAGAAACATTAAGACTATGCAAATAAAGATTGTAGAAAAGACAAAATAGTAAGTAAATGAAATCAAAAAGTTTAAGAAGGCTACAATTAAAAATATTAATAGGGAAGCTTTATTTGATACTCAATTAAATGAAGATCGAAAATCAAAGGTCTTATCAGCTGAAGATATTTAAACAGAAATATAAGCAGAATAAAAATAAATAAAAACAGCTAATCTAAATGCAGATAAAAATGTCATAATTAAAATTCAAATTTTGATATATGCAGGAGTATTCCTAGAAATTTGTTTTGGTCTATTATCTATTGTAATTTTATTAACTGATCTATTGAAAACACCTACAGGTTAGAAATCATTAAATTAATGTAGGAACTCTATGTTATTTATATATTTCAGCATTGCTATAGTACCTATCCTTGATTGCAGTGTTGAAGTTATTTAAAGACGTGAGAAGTCCAGAAGTCTTAAATCTAATTTGGATTTAAAAAGTAGGAAGTGGCAAAAACAAAGTCAACCAAAAGTTTTTCTTTACGATTCCACAGTTATAAACTAAAGTAGACGATTCAAAGAAGAAATTTGAACAAAGAATCAATTTGCATCTTAGATGAAAAGTAGTTTGTATATGTTAACACTCAATTAATTTTGAATAATAACTCCTATATCATTTTGATATAATAAAATTAGACAAACCTTTAATTATATATATAGCTATAAAGATATATCAATATAATCATCACTATAACCTTCTTTAAGTAGAAATCAAAAGTTTCAATATATTTTATCCATTTTACTAAAACAACAACATATTTTAATACTTTTTTGTGTTCTATGTTTGAAAGTTTACCCCTTATTCGAGCTTAGCCCATTTTTACAATGGGTACTCAATTCCATAGCAATTGATGGATACCTTCATCAAGCATCAAATTAATTCAAAATTCTGAATGTTAATTCAACCCCAATTAAGAATGAGAAAGTGGGAGAAGGATATCCCAGAATTTGTATTTTCCAAATCCAAATACTTTTATTTTCATATAATGATAATATTCTTGCACCCGAGTTCTTAAACTAACACCAACTCCACTTTGAAAATAAGATAGTCAATAAACTCAAAGACAGGATAACCAAACAACATTGATTGATAAACATATAGATCTTACAGACATCAAAAGGATATTAGGAAATCCTTCAATCGTTAAATCCTTAAATTCAAAGATCCCCTTTCCTAAATAGATTCTTATTACTTTTAGATTACGTTGTTAAATAAAATTATGGTTCTATGTTATTTTTAAGATGATATGTGTCATGATAAGAGGTTGGCTTTTAAAAATTATATAAATGAGTTACGAAAATATATTGGATAAGATTCTTAAAGGTTTCTATTGGTTTTTGATATAATTAGTAAAATAAAATAAGCAATATAAATGTTATTTAATATTTTAGATAACTAAAATTCCCAAAGACTATTAAATGCTAAGTTCAGATTCACATTGGTAAAATATAGGAAAAATATTTTATTAGGAAATATAATGAGACAATATCTTTCATCAATAATTATAGATGCAAATTAAATGTTGAATATAAGGAGTGTTTAAACATGAGGTTTTCTCCAAACTTATATTTCGATATACCTGCATACTTCAAATTTCCATTTAAGTTTTATTTGTTTTAATAACAATATTGTTTCATATTAATTTAATTTGACATAATATCATTTTTAAATATTCTGAAAACTCATAAAATATTTTAGAATAGAAATTCTTTAACAACTAATAAAAGAAATAGAGTTCCCTCAAGAATTCAAAACTTAGTTTTACAACAAATTTAACAGATTTTCTATATTTCACACTACTTATTAATTTTATTTATTATAATTTATTATCTGTTATTTTTATGAAGTATCATGTTTGTTGATTAGTATATAGTATAATCTCTAATGGGTAATAGGGTGTTTAGCAACTTAAGTTATGAGAAAGAACAATCCATCTAACAATTACCTTAAGTTTGTTATTAATTGTAATTAATAATTTGATATCCCTATTTAAGAAATTAGGAATTTATTTTTGAATACTAATATTTTTTTTAAAATGAAGACTGTCAATGAAGAAAAAATCGCAATATATAATGGAGAAGATATTAAATACTTTGTCTTTCCAGATAAATTTGATCATACGTAAAGTGGAGTTCCTGGAAATCCTTGTTATAATTTTAGATTTAGGATTTTCGTGTTCTTTTCATATATAGTCCTTACATAACTTTTTTAGCTTTTTTGTACTCCAACAGAAAAGATTACAGGAGTTTGGGATATTGGACACTAAATTACAACGCCAATCAACAATTTGTATAAAGAACATCGATGGTATTCTTATGATATAATTTAGGTTTTCTATTGCTTTGTAGTTACTCTCAGCAGTTATCTTAGATGTAGCTTACCTTTATATTTCACTATATTGGGTTCTCTACCAAAGAAATTTTAGATTATTCGCTGCTTTAATTATCTTTTATGTGGTGAGAGCCATACATCTAAATCTTGTTAAATTGGAATTCCCATAAAATTACTACTGGGAAGACCCAAGCATTCCAAGTTTGGTTGTGAAATATGGATTTTTCTCTGACTTCTTTTATTCTGTAATATTGAACCAATATAATTTTAGGGACATGTTGGATACTTGATTATCTGTGGACTTGAAATGAGAAAGATAGGTAAAAAATACATGTCAGCATTTTTCTTCATATGTTCTTTATACTAAGCTTTTGTTGTAATTACATTTGCAATTCATTACACGATTGATGTAAGATTAAAATTCTTATTGTAGGTAACAACTGGATGCATATTTGCACACTACTTTTATAATTAAGTTTGCTATTGGGAAGTTAAGATAGATTTTTTCCTAAAAATAATCGCTAACCTATTTGCTCGCACTCCAAAATAACCTAATATCAAATATGAAGTTTAAGGTGATAAATAGATAGGAGTGATAACTGCGTGAGAATAGTCAATTTTATTATATATATTTCATTCATTTAGAGTATAAATTATTATAGATTCAACATCAACAATAAATTAAAAATATTATTCTTCTTGTACACAATTAAATCCTAAGAGAAATTAAAATTCCAAAGAAATACTTTGATTAAATGTAAATCCTAAAGCAAATAAAGTAAGACAATAATCCATATTAAATTTATCATATTTAATTTCCTTTTTAGTAGAAAACTAAATAGGATCCAAACTTCACACATTCCATGAAAGACTTAAAAATTTCATCAATAAGAATTGATAGCGGATTCGTTTTATCCTTTTTGATTTTATTAAGGAATTAGGATAAAAAGTTCATGTTTGAATATACTTCACTTTTATATTCTAATTTTAATTATTATATTTTTAATTGGTCTTATGAATGGAGTTGTGAAGTATGTAATGATTTAATTAGTTCTTATGAATTGCAGTAATATAGAGCAAAGTCCCAAGATAATTTGAAATCAGTAATTTGAAATGAAAAATTTAGATATTAGTTATGATAACAATACTAAGTGGATTTTGCTTTTTATACAATGCTTATTTAATATTTTAATGGGATTATAAAATCACCATAATCTACTGCTGCGTATCCTCTTTCACTATAATGGTTCATAGATTACTTAAAAGTCGAAGGTATAAAAAATATTATTTTTAAGTCTTTCCCAATATTGTTGTTTTAATATTTTTGAAAGTTTACTACTTATATCATATTTACTTTCCCTAGTCTATTACATAGAGATTGAGAAAGTGAATATAAATTTCATCTCTTACGCTCAATTAGTTTTATAGTTCTTGATTCTAGCAGTCACAGTTCTTGTAAATAGAAGTACATCTGAGACTGAGAGTCAAGATCAATCACTATAGATATAGGAAATTGTAAATTTGATCTAAAATTCATAGCTAATCTCGGCATTTAAAAGTATTAGTGCCCTTCAACTTGTGTTCATCAGTCTAAGAATTACTGAGCAAATTACTTGGGGGTGGATTTAAACCTTAATAATAATATGGTTTCTATTGGGACTGTCATTTGTGATTTTCATTTGTTTGCTTGTTGATATTCTGTAGAAATGCAGAAATTAATAAGATGGAATCGAAGAGGAGAAAAAAAGAGTAATTAGTAAAAAATGAATTATACTATTTAGTTTAAGGGGGAATTTGGTTAAACTTGGTTTTGTTTGGAATCACAATATTACCATTTTCAACCATTTTTGGTTTAGCCTTAAATTATGACTTTAAATTTAAATCATTAAATTAGTACGCCTTTGGATTGACAATCTTTTATTATCTGCTATAATTGGCCTATTATTTTAAGTTCAAACAAAAGCTGATGTATTATTTCAAAAATAATAGAGTGACTATCTTCTATACTATGACATTGCTTAAAGTAACTTGTATGTTGACTAGTAATTGCAATAAATCAATCAGAATAATCAACAAATAGAAAACAGAATTGAACTTAAAATGAAAAGAATGCACAAGTTGAGTATATCAAAGGTGCCTTAATTCATGGTTAAATTATCATAAACATATTATAAATGTGCACAGAATGCTGATTCACAATGCATGTCATCTAAAATTCAACACAATTAATTGAATTAAAAGAATCAATTCTAAGAGAATGATAATGACAATGAGTAATCGAAAAGATTTGATTTATTGTTGTCTAGTCCGAGACAAAGATTGGAGATCAGTTCTAGTATAGGATAAGATCTGACTAGTAGAAATATTGATAAAAAGCAATTAGAAGACTAATCTTCTATTAAATAAGAGCAGTAGAATCAGAATTCTCAGAAACTGTGTTTAGTATGTTATGAAAAGGAAAGCAATATGATTAATATGCCATGTGGTCATGGTGGATTTTGTAAAGAATGTTGTGAGTAATTGTTGAGCAAAAGTGAGCTTTGTTACTTATGTAGAAAGCCTGTTACTCATAGTTTATAAATACAAGAAGTTTAGAATAGAGAGAGTTTAGTAGAAGTAATTGAAGTTTTAGAATAACAAAATAAATGAATAAATTGGTGTTAATTGTATCATCTTATTTTTGTGTTTTAATTTCATTAATTTTTATATGTTATATTTTACTTCTGATTTACAAAAGTTATATATTACTTTTTTAGATTTCAAAAGGACAACATTAGATTTCATTATGTAAAATAAATAATTTGTATAATATTTCACCTGTTTTTAATGGTAAATAAATCACACAAAGAATAATTAGAAAATGAAATTTAAATTAACTTGATTTGTTATTTTTGATTAACTTAGCTGTTTTAATCAAGCATACAATCAAATTATATGATGATCATTTTAATATAAAAATTTAATCTGATATGGGCAATGCATGTTGCAATCATTAAGAGATTTATTAGAATCACTTCTCTAGCCATACATAAATTCTGATTCCAATGTGCAAGTAAAGTAATATTTGGGATTCCTTCCAGGATGATGATGAAAATATTTCACCCATTAAACAATATATAACCCCTAGTGCTGCATCAAAAGTCGATCTTGACTTCTCTTCAGACACTAATCAGTCTAAAATGAAATAAACAATACAATTACCAGGTGCAAGAAAGTCTGTGAAGATAAGTTATAATAATTTTGTAACTATGAAACAAGGGGAATGGAGTGAATAATACAGCATACTAAAGAAGTTGGGCTAAGGAAGCTATGGATGTGTCTGGCTTGGCTAACACAAAAAAACTGGTATATTGAGGGCACTGAAATAAATTAAAAAAGACTCACTATTATTTGAAGATTAATAAAGAATGCTATCTGAGCTGAATATCTTAAAATCTTTAGATCATCCAAACATCGTTCGTGTTTTTGAATGCTTCCAAGAAAATGATTAATATATCATAGCTACTGAGTAATTAGTTATATTATCAAGATACCTCCCTGAAGGAGAACTATTTGATCGCATTAAAAAACTGCAATGCTTCAGTGAGAAAATGGCTGCCGATTACATTAAATAAATACTCTAGGCTATAAGTTACTGTCATGATAAAAAAATAGTGCATAGGTATTTAATAATAATACTTTCTTAGAGACATAAAGCCAGAGAATATTTTGTTGAGTGGATAAGGACAAGAAATTAAAGTCATTGACTTTGGAACCTCTAGATATTTTTCATCAAACAATAATATGTAGAAGAAATTAGGAACTCCTTATTATATTGCTCCAGAAGTCTTGAATGGGTAATACAACGAAAAAGTGGATATCTGGTCTTGCGGGGTTATCTTATATATTTTCTTATGCGGTTATCCCCCTTTTACTGGAAAAAGTGAAAATGAAATATTTGAAAAAGTAAAAAGTGCCAAATTGATTTTCGACGATGAAGATTGGTCAAATGTTTCTAAAGATGCATTAGATTTAATTGGCAAAATGCTGAATGTCGATGTAGATAATCGGTTATCTGCAAAACAAGCACTCCTTCATCCATGGGTCTAAAGAAATGCCAAATAAGAAATTATATCTCTTTAATTATTAAATAACATCCAAAAATTCTATGTATTCGTTCAATCAATTTAGGTCAAAAGCAACTTTCAAAAAGCTATCATGACTTTTATGGTTAACCAAACTTTGCAAAACTAAGAGATTAGTGAATTAAAGGCTACTTTCCATGCTTTAGATAAAAATAACGATGGGAATTTGAATAAATTAGAATTGATTGCTGGTTATCAAGACATCTTAAAAAATAAAGAATTAGCTGAAGAAAAAGTCAATTAAATATTGGATGATCTTGATTTGAACCATTCAAATCTAATTGATTACTCTGAATTCATTATGGGGGCCATGAAATTCGAAAAATTAGTTTCGATTGAAAGAATTAAATTAGCATTTCGTTTGCTAGATTCAGTATCAATAATTATATTTATTAGAATGGAGATGGTTACATATCAAAAGAGGAATTGGAAGATAACATGGGATTTTTAGAGCCTGAAATATGGGATTCATTTTTAAAGGATTGTGACTTAAATAAAGATGGAAAAATATCAGAAGATGAATTTACTAATATTTTAGTTACTTTATGATTTATATGATATGTTAATTATTAAACACATAATTTACTTCACTCTTTGATGCCTAAGGCTTATTACAACTTATCTACCAATTTTGGTCCTCCAAAATCTAAAGCCGCATTGAACATGTCTCCTATTCGACATTTTAATAGTACTACTTCTTCTTACATCTTTTCAATTACCTCATTAGAATTATCTTGAGTGTGATTCAAAGATTATGCTTCAATTAATGCCTGTTGATAATTATTTGAAATATTAATCTTCTCAGTCTCCAATTCATGATTCTTTTATTCTAATTCTTTTATTGTAGCTTATAATTGGTTTATTTATAATTCTTATTGTTCTGATTACTGTATAATCTTTTCATTTGTAAGTTGAATTTCTTAGATGTATTCGAAGTTCTCACTCTTTTACTATTCCAAGTTCTCTTTAACACTCTCCAAAAATTTAATCAAATTTTATTAATCCAATTCAACCTATTGATAACTTTGTATTTCTTATTATTGATTTTATATTACATCATCCTTGTCTTTCAATCGATTCACATAATTATTAGTTATTAATTATATCTCTATAGCGTGTTTGCCATCCTTTTCTTTTATTGAGTCTTCCATTTCTTCCAATTACTTTTTCAATTCTAGTAATTTTACTTAGTCATCTTGGGATTATTATTATAATTGTTAGATCTATTTGATAAAATCGTTATTTTTTAATATATTCTTCAAATTAATCTCATCTATTTATTATTCAAATTTTTATTTATTCTCTAAGCATTACTTCTCCAATTGCTATGCTTTCTCATTAATTATTTACAAACCCTCCAATTATTCACTTAACTATTGATTCTATTTCTATATATTTTGAATTTCATCATCCTTTACCTTTATCTAATTGGTTAATTCCAATCCTTTATGTTCCAGTTAATCTATATATTATTAAATTATTTCTTTTTCTTTTAGCCATTCATCATTTTCGGTAAATAATTATTATTATAATTCTTATATGTCATTTTAATATTGTAATTAACTTTCTTTGATTTGAGTTTCTAATTCTTCTATTTTTGAATTTTTCTCTTGATTAATCACTTGTAATTGATCTATTTAAAGTTGAAATTCTCCTTCTCTCAATAACCACATTTCTTTGGATTTAACTAGAGAATTATTTTCTATTTTTATCTGATCAATATCATTTTAAGCTTATTAGAGTGCAGTTATTTGTTGATTCAATTAAATAGTTAAGTCTTCTATTTATTATTATAATTTTTAATGTTATTCTTAATTTAGTTCTAATTGTTCTGCTTATTAAAAATTTAATTCTAAATTAATTACCTGTTATTATTCAAGTTATTCTGTTTGAATTCCAATTTCTTAAAAAGTTTGTTGAGTTAACTCAAATTATTTGCTATCTTAATTCTCTTATTATTAGACTTAATCCGATGACTATACTTATTATTATGTCTAATACTATTATTATTATACTTAAAGTTCTTATTATTATATCTAGACTTCTTATTATTTCTAATCTTTTTATTATATCTCATCTTATTTTAATTGATTCAAATTCTCTAATTCTGTTATTTTTTTATTTAAATTATTGACTTATTCATCTAAAATAATAATTTGATCTTTTAATTAAACTATTTCCTCTTCTAATTTAGTGTTCTGCAAAATTAAATTCTCATTTTATTAGTCTTATTATGCTTTTGAGATTGAATTCTCTTGTTATAGTTACTATGTATTATGAATCTATTCCTTAATTTGAATTTGTAATTATTCATTTATTATAATTTATTCTTAATTTTATTGGTTTAATTATGAAATTTTGCTGGACAAATTATTGATTAAGTCTTCCTTTTTCAAAATTTCTATCTACAAAGCCTGTAATTTAATTTATAGATCCTAATTTTATTGATCAAACATGCTATTTTATTCACTTAATTGTTGATTAATCTATTTTTCTGAAATAGATTATTGGATTAATTCTTTATTTTGAATTTCTAAATTTTATAGATTTTAGATTTTTTCATTCTATTGAAGTATTAATTGATTTAAATTATTTAAAAACTCTGAGTTTGTTTGCATTTATTATTGTAAAAGTGAGTTTTCGCTTTAGAGATTATCAATCTTTTATTTTGCTTAAGTTAACTCAATTGTTTTTAATTACAGTTGTTCTATTAATACAGATTATTGATTATAAGAATTATTAGAATCTTCTTTTTCATGTTCCTAAATCTATTATGAATTTTGTTCTAGATCCTACTTTAATTTACAAAATTTCAAAGCAATTGCTTTATTCAATTCCATCAATTGATTTGGAAGATCAGTCTCAGCAGTCTCAATCTAAGGGTCTCGAAACAACTATCTCATAATTTGTACTTAACTGGTACTATCGTTTATCAGTTATTACAATTAATTAGTTTACTATGTAAGTACTTGAACTTTTATTCTTAGTTCTTCCTCTCTTTCTTGTTATTGTTTTAATTCATTCTAGAAATTCTATTCTTTTTCCATATATTTTTAGTCTAATTCTGTTTATATTTATTCTTGTTCTTGTTTCAATTATTGAATTTGTTTTAATAATTCCTCTACCTCGAATTGATGTTTCTATTTTAGTTATTCGCATTAAGTTTAATACTCAACTAATTCATTATTTTTATTATTCAATTGTTGAGTTAGATTTTCAATATTTTATTTATCTGAACTCAAATGATCTTCACATTATTTCTTAATTTCTATCCTTTATTGATTGATTTACTCCTATTACTAAATAATCTATTTGGATAATTCATCAATCTAATAATTATGATTAATCAATACTTTTTCATTATGAATTCTTTCATTCTGTTAGAGATTAGTATTTTGGTTCGATAAATTTAGTAACTATAGGTTTAAATTATTTAGGCTTTCTTTTTATGAGTCTATTAATATATCTTTTTCATCTAATTTATTTTTAAGTTACAATAATTATTAATTCTGTTGAGTGATTTAATTTTCAAAATTGATATTTCTTAGTTAACTCTCATTATTAGATTTTTCTAAAACAGAATATAATTAATCTTTTTTTTTACAGATTTCCTCCAATTCTTGAAGCCTTTACTTTAAGGATGAAGTAGTCTATTCTTCTGAATTGATGCTTTGCTAATATTAATTATACTCCTCAGATAATTTATTGTACTTTTACATAGCTTTTTTATAGTTTTATGTCAGGTTTTCATTATCTTTTTGTGCTTACCTTAATTGACTTTAAATTTAACTTAGTTGCTATTCATATTAACATATCTATTCTTGGTAAATGTTTTAATCAATCATCTTCTCTATCTACTTTCTTTGTTCCTATAATTGCAATACCAACGCTTCCTTTTTAACTTTCTCAGTCTGCACTTCCTATTAGAGTTTATTATTCTGATCTTTGATTTCCATGTTCAAAATCTTTTATTAATTGAGTTCTTCATGAAGGTGCTATAGATCTAATTAGATTTGGCTTGCAGTGCTAAAATTCTGCTGTTACTTTGGAGAGGCAAGGTGAGAGGAGATATCTGTCACCGTGGGATTATTTGTTTGGCTTTTAGAAAAAGATTTGTTCAAATTTGGTGATTGTCCTGATTGATTATCTCCGAAGTATTTTTTTGCTGTGCTTTCAATTGCTTCTTTAAAGGGTGTAAAAATTCCTGTTTTTTTATCAGAGGTTTACTCTTACACTATTGAAGACTGAGGGTTAATTGCATCAAAATCCACTTCTCCAACTTCAGCTAAATGAATTTTTAAATAAATTTTGGCTTTGCTATCAGGACACCCTTGCAAAAGTAATTCTTCATTAATGTCTAAAGTGCAATTATGAAATACCATTTTTATATTGGTTCATATAGTCTGCAATATCAAAAAAACATTGCCCTCCCTTTTTATTACCTGTTGGTGTAATGAGCAAAATTAATAATTCCATCTTCTTTTCTTAATATATTCCATTTATTTAATACACATTAGTTTGAATGGCGAGTGTTTCATTAACGATAGCCTTGCCTTAATTGAAATCAGCTAATTGTTATGTTTGAATTTTCTGCTGCTTCCCTTGATTGATAAAAATAACTACATACCATATTTCAAGACAACTTACAATTTAAAGGATAAATTACTCTTCATTTCTAACCTTTCTATATGGATTTGTACTTAATACTTATATCCCTTAGGATTCATATAAATATAATTAATTTTATAATCTAAATTTTATCAAGAATAAAATAAATTCATTTTTAAAACTAATTAAAATTGTGACGTGAATTTTCACTAACATTTGTTATGAAGGTGAGAAGCAATTTTGAAATTCTGCTTAAATGACTATATTTATATACAACAAAAATAAAATTGTATTAAGATTTCATGTCTTGGTTTATCTCCTTTTCAAAAAGTTTCTTCTTATTTCATTATCCACGAATAAATAATGATGTCGAGTCGATATTTAGTGTGAATACACAAAATGTTTTTCTTCTTTAATATCTTTGATCGCATAATCCATATATTCATTTAGATTTCTGAAATGATGCTTTATTAAATTTTTCCAATTAGAATTAGTTATATGATTTTTCTATTCCAAATTCTGTAATAACTTCGAATATTTCGACTCTTGATCTTCCAATCTCCTTTTCTCTTTGGAATAGGAATCATGGATTTCTTATTGTGTTATAATCCCTTCTTCCAGTGTGCTACTAATCTCGCTCATCAGACTGGTGAGCCTTGTATTTTTGGTTTATCTTTGAACTAGAACACTTTTTGAGCATTGGATTGGCTTATACTTATTGGAATTGGCAGAACGAAATGAATTCAAATAGAATTCATGTTCAATCGGTGGTAATTTAGCCTAAGCTTATAACCTTTCGACATAATCATAGACATCCTATTTCGATTTAAAAGTAGCCTATTGTTTGTAGGGAGTCACAATTTTTTTTTTGGGTCTATAATTAAAACAGATTTCAGCATAAGTGTCATCCAGCATTATATATTATATAAAATACTAATTATTCCTTTTGTATAAATAATCAATTGATCTTCTTAATTTTTAAGATATTCGACTCATCAGGGTTCTCTTCACTTCCTCCTAGTAGCACGATACCCTTGTCACCAGTCTTGATGATTCCTCTTGTCTTAGCAGATTTGATAGCGTAATCAACCAAAGTGTCAACTCCCTGGAAACTTGGAACTCTCAAACAAGTAACCCCACTGGTCATACTTAATCCCTTAATTGTTTTGTCCTCAGTACTAATAAAGGAATTATTTGATATCCAAACCTAATTGCAATAATAGGAGCCCTTGGTCTGTATTTGGCCACAAGTCTAGCGATTTCGCCAGTGAGGGTGAAACAAATGATCACATGAGCTTTAGTTTCAAAGCTCATTTACACAGCTGAAGCAGCCAAAGCTTCGGTATCCTCCAAATATCCCCTATCATGAATTCTGTTCCAATACGTTTTTTCATTATCAACACATTTTTCTGCTTCACAACATATCTATTAATCAATGAATAGGTTACTCTTCCCATAGTCTCTACTGCAATAACAGGAAAAGCCCCGTTGGCAGTCTCTCCAGAAAGCATAACACAATCAGTTCCATCCAATACAGCATTAGCCACATCTGAAGCCTCAGCTCTTGTTGGTCTAGGATTGGTGATTATTGATTCCATCATCTATGTAGCTGTAATAACAGGTTTGCCTGCATTAAGTGCTCTTTTGATCATCCATTTTTAAGCCTAGAATACTTTCTGTGGGGGAATTTCCATTCCTAGATCTCCTCTTGCCACCATAATTCCATCTGCTGATTTTAATATTTCATCGTAATTTTCCATTCCTTCCTGATTTTCTATTTTAGCAATAATCTTGATTCCACTTCCTCTGGGACCCAAAATGTCTCTAACATCTTCTATATCTTATGCCTTTCTAGTAAATGACAAAAAGACGATATCAATATTATGTTTTAAACCGAATTTAACAAGATCTTCCTCTTCCTTTTCAGTCACTGTTGGCAAATCAATAATGGCTCCAGGCAAAGACATGTTTTTCTTTTCTCCAAATGATGCATCATTCTAAACTGTTACTATTACACTGTTCTATTAATGAAATATATCATCTATTTCTAATACCTCTTTTATTTCATCCACAATTGTAACCACAGATCCATCGGCTATCAAGATTTATGATCCAACATGTACTGTTTTACATAAACTTTAGTAACTGCAAGGAATACATTCTGATGTGCCTTCAAATGAATAATCAGTAGCTTAGTAATATTAGAATGTTCATACTTATTTCTAACTTCTATCCTTTCTTCAACACGATCTACTTATGTTCTTTATTCAACCCAGTTCTTATTTCTGGGCCCTTCGTATCTAAGGCTATTGCGACTGGCTTGTCCTTTCTTTATTTAAAGGCTTCTCTCAATTTGGCTACTGTTTCCCCGTGAACTTTATGATCACCGTGAGAAAAATTGAGTCTAGCCACACTCATTCCTGCATCTATTAATTAGACTAAAGTAGGCACATCCCAACAAGCAGGTCTAATTGATATCTAAATATTTGTTACCCTATTGTACAAATGATCTTAGTTGCTCTCTTTGAATAATCTGTCTCAGATAGGATTGTTTATAATTCATAATGCGCAAAAGAATCACATTGCATTGTTATTATAATAATAATAAATTCTATATTTCCATAGAAAATCTCATATCCAATTAATTATGCATAAATATATATATACAATATTTTGTTCAATTTAAGATTCATTTAAGATAAGGTCTCAACTTTCGTAACAAGCTGGTTTTAGTTTTACTCGCATTTATATCATTAGGCAATGTCCTAATTCTTATGTTCTGATTGATTTGAGGATCTGATTTTTATTAAATCAGCATATTAATTTGCTTATTGATGAAAAGATTTTGCTTCTAATTTAACTAAATCTGTTTATCTACATTATCTTGAGATTTGGATTGTATCAATTATTAAGACAATCTTCCAACATCGATACTTCTTTTTTAAGCTAATAAATATTAATTGAATTCATTTAGACTTGGTTATTTAATCAAAGGCAATTTTTACTCTTCTCGAACAAAGCTCTTTAGTTTCTTATTCTTATCCATCACATATTAAGCTATAACACTATGAGATGTTTTTCTATTGAGGATATTGAGGTTTTGGTCACAGTGTCCCCTGGGAGTCAGATATTGATTGATCGTATTTTCAGCTACCTAGATTTTACTAAATTAAGTCTTCTTAAACTAGATTTTAGTCACGATCTGAGGAGAGGACTCACATGATGAGTCTGCCTAATCCTAAACGGGTTTAAATAGAAGATTACAAACTTCTTAGCCATCACTTCTTGGTATCTTCTCAATTTATCTCTTGAGACGAATATATTGTTTTGAGGTTCTTGAATACATGTCTTTCTTTTCAATATTAATCGAGAACATCTTTGTGAATAGATCAACATCCTAATTTTTTTTTCTAATTCAGTATCCAATTTTAATATTGGACCTTGATATAATTAATCACTAACTGTTTTGGCTCTTCGATGTGTTATTTTGATTAATTATGGCAATAGAGAACTCCTGCTTCTCTATACTTTCTACTGCTTCTTAACATTTGATCTTCTCATAAATTCTAATTGAATTATTGATATACTATACTGCATTTTTATTCGATTCAATTTTTTCTTCTTATATACTGCCACGTCTCTGCAATGTTGACTGACATACACGTAAGGAGCAAAACTATCTAATCTTCTTTACTTTAAGCTAATGTAATCATATTAACTAGCTCTTCTGATATTTGCTTTCTATTAAGGGGTTTCGGAGGCTACATTGCTTACCATAGATATTGCGTCCATTAGGTCAGGTTTTTCTGATCTTTATGATTTTCTTGCTGAATTTCTATAATTTGAAGAGTTTGGTATCAAAAGCATATTTTTTAATTTGGGTTACATTTTGGACAATTGGTTCACCGATAATAAGGTTATGAATGGCAGATCAAAAGAATGAGACCGCTTCCTATTCTAATTTAGTTATTCTAAACTCTCTAACATCGTTTCCCCTTCTTTTATATTTCTAATTAAACTATTTTTCATTTCTGTATTGAGAATTAACATTTAATAATTTTATATACATTTCACAATTATAATGATAGGATTATTTGTAGTTGAAGCTATTGTAGGAATGCGTAAAAACCTTTCGAAAATAGAGTATCAAGTCAAATGGCTTGGCTATTCCAAAGATGAAAATACATGGTAATTTGTATTTTACTAAGAAACAACCCTGTAGGGAATTACAAGAAAACTTAGTCTAAAATTGCAGTGATCTCATCAACCAATATCATTAAAACCAATTTTTTCAAAAATTCAAAGGTCTCATCACTGATTACTAAGAGATCAAGGGAAGTCTGAGAACTGACAAGCCTTTCCAAATTGTTAGAGAATTTGAAACTCAATTTTTAGTTAAATTTATTAATTAATTTAGATTGCCTATTATCCAAGGAAAAATAGGTTTGTCGGTTCATCTCTAATTAATAAATCAGAAGCTCCCATAGACCTATTATAAGAATTTTATTGTAAATAGGAGGAAGATACAAAATAACAAGAATACAACAATTAATAAATCGGTTGCGTTTTAGAGTTTTCTGAAAAATAATCGTACGTTGTTTTGTTAGAATCTAAGGAAAGAGTGTTTGTTGACAACCAAATAATTATCGATCGATAACCAGAGCTTTTACTCGACTATTTTGAAAATATGAATTGGATCACCACATTAGAATGATTTATTTATTATAAATATTTTGATTTAATAGAATCAAACTTTCTTTTACGCCAACATTCAATTTATAAAATAATCCATATAAAAGTTTTGAACTCCTTAATATCTATATCAATACCCTATTATTGATCAAAATATTGCTTCATTGATAATTTTTTCAATCTAATTGTGCTCTCTTTTAAGGAAGTTCTTCAATAAAAAAATATCATAAATTAAATAATGTAACAATAGATAAGTCCATTTTTTTAGTGTCAAGAATATGTTGCTGAATTGAGTAAACCTGTAAGCTTGATTGAATTTACAAAAGAGAATATGTAAAATTAGTTACCTACAAAATTATAATCAAATTCTCATAATATGCTTTCAGATCACAAACATAAAAAAAGCCTTTAGGATGATAAAAGTATAAATTTGTTTTAATAATATAGTTAGTTAATCCATACAATTCAAATTGGGCTAACGTTTTGCTTAATAAACATTACAAAGTACAAGTAAGATGTGATGCGAGTAAGTGGGTTATAAAGAGAGTGGCTGAAGATGAATCTATGATAAGTAATTTACCAAATCTCAATAAGCCTATTTAAGGCCAAAGAAAACTATTCTCAAATACTGTTTCAAAATAAATTAAACAAAGACTTAATAAATTTAATGTAGATTAACATCGATAATATACTTTAACACCAAAAGAACTTCATCCTTATTAAAATTCATCACTTTCTCATTTAAATACAAACCCTAATAATCATAATAGCGATAACAACAAAAAAAAATATAATAATGATATT